GTTCGGACAGCCACTACTGTGCAAAACTGGGAGTGTGAGTTGGCCATTTATACATTACCCGATCTCACAGAGTTGAATATTTGCAGCAAATAGGAACCGCGGGTCTCTGCAAACAGCCGCAAGTGTCGGCTATACTCGGATGTACTCGTTACAATTCGTAAACACTAACTCTAGTTCTCGATCAAACCCCACTTCGATATACCTGACTTCCACCGTGTCTCAGCCGCACAGTCTCCCTTCGTTGCAGAACATGCAGAGCTCGGGCTAACGCTGCTTCGCTGTACCCTCTCCCCTGAACGAATTCCCGCTTTAGAGTCGCAAGACTCGTGCTCCAACCAATCGGCAGCCGCCTTCTAAGCTCTTCTTCCACCTTGCTTACTTCTTCCATCAACTCCCTATTTCCGCTCATTCCGCCAGCACCTTCACCTTGGGACACAGCATCCATGGTACTGGCGAGGAAGAGGCGGATTGCTTCATCAACGTGGTGTTCCTCTGCTACTGGTGATAAGGTGAGTTTCGCAAGTGATTCTGTGATGCGAATGATGGCTTCGAGTTGACGGACTGTGATGGGAATGGAGGACCGGACATTGCTGTTGGCCTCAGCTCGAGCTACCCGATCTCGAATCGAGACGAAATGAGATGATAGCTTTTCGGCTGCACCAGGCGACAACCTAGGGGCACAACGGCTGGAGAAAACTTGTTAGCGGGCTATTCATGTCCATGCACAGCGCCACAGATGCCACTTACGATTTGCAGAAACTGATATACCTCTTCATCTTCTCCACGGGGATTTCAACCTCTGCCTGTTCCTCGATGCCCTGGTTTCCCATGTGGATGCCCATGACGTGCTTGGCGATGTTTTCGTCCCGAGCTCTATCGTGGTCGTCCCTCACGATGAAGATCATGTCGAAACGAGATAGGATGGTGGTTTGGAAGTCAATATTCTCTCCGGGAGATTTGAGGTCGTCGTAACGCCCGAAAATGGGGTTTGCGGCCGCAAGGACGGATGTCCGTGCGTTGAGGATGGTGGTAATGCCGGCTTTGGCGATGGAGATTGTTTGCTGTTCCATCGCCTCATGGATCGCCACTCGATCTTCATCACGCATCTTGTCAAACTCATCGATACAGACAACGCCACCATCTGCAAGGACCATGGCTCCTCCTTCCAGGTAGAATTCACGTGACTGTGTGTCCCGTTGCACCGAGGCGGTCAAACCAGCTGCCGACGAGCCCTTTCCGGAAGTGTAGATCGCAATTGGTGCCACCTTTTCGACGAATTTCAAGAGTTGAGATTTGGCCGTACCCGGGTCACCCAGAAGGAGGACGTTAATGTCACCTCTCAGTTTCATGCCGTCAGGGAGAATCTTTTTCGAGCCACCCATCAACAGACATGCAATGGCTTTCTTGATATCCATATTTCCATAGATCGAGGGGGCGATACAACGCGCGAACCGCTCGTAGAGATCTGGTAATCTCGACATTTCTTCAAACTCTTGAACTTCCTCGTCTGAAAATGATGCGCCCGTGGCCGTGTGGTCGACATCGGTTTGGATCCCTACTGCTCTCAAATATGGCTGTCTCAACGCAACTGCACTATCTCTCTTTGTGCCTTTATTCTGTTGATAGATTGAAAACACGCCCATCACTGTACATCTCGATCCAGGGACGACTCGGTTCGTCAGGTACCGGTCCGCAGACACGGCGATGTGGCGTGGCAATTCGCCTACGGGGACTTGGTCGGGCGCTTCCTGCAGCTTTATAATCTGTTGATCGATAAATTGTGAGGATTCGTGGACCACAAAATAAGGATCCAAAGGACACGGATCTCCAGATTCCTGCCCAGGAATTTTCGTTCGTCCGCACTGGCGTGGGAGGGTTATGCCTGAGAAGCCGCCTTCGACGTGGAGTTGCTGCGTGTGTTCGCAGCCGCGGCATTGGATCGTCACGAGCGTGGCTTTTGAAGATAGCGTAGATGCGCCGATAATGATGCCCGGGATGCGTACGAGGTGCGAGACGTTCTGGGCCGTCAGATCACGGATCGAGATGTGCGCGACACTCGAGTGGAGTAGGAGTTGATGTTGTGGGAGTTGAACGTCCCGGTCATGCGGGAACACGATCCGCTGTGTACATTGTTTCAACGCCGCCTCGAACAGCGGTATCACATCCGCGGGCTCGCTCGTGAGTCGGTGCGCCAGCTCTTCGTTATATGAGATCAGATGAGCAAGGTCGACGTCGCAGTAATACTGCTTTACGAGGACGTTCTGTCGGAGCTGGTCCCGGTAGATGTACACCCCATCAAGCTGGAATGCGAGGATGAAATCCCTGAGCTTTTGTTGGAGTTCGGTCCGTGGTTCGCTCAGTTGATCATTGTGCGCGGGGAGGACGGAGAGAGAGTAGGCAGAGCGGGAGTCGAGAGCCATGATGGAGGCTCGTTGGATCTATTGTTGGTGTGCTTGAGGCAGGGAAACGAAGCGCATTGATTTTCGCAGTGTAAAGGGAGAGGGGAGTTTCAGTCCCAAATCGCAGTTGCGCGTGTCAACGCGTTCTTGACGCGCAAGGACGCGTTTAATTGATTTTTGACTGTGCCAGACCCGAAGAACTGCCGGGGATGTCTTGGCCTCTAAGACATTTGCTGGCCTTTGCTCCTTCATCTTCATTTTGTCAACATTCTTTACTTTGCAATGCTCATTGGACCACTATCAATTGCGCTCTTTCTGGAACAGCTTTAGTCGCTCCCCATATACTGGTCGGACCGCCTCCGCCCGATCTTCAAATGTAGGTCTAAGGCCGATTTATCCCGTCTCATATGCGGGGAAAGGTTCTCAGATATCGCTGTACGGAGTAGAGCTCGGTTTGTTGTCCGATACCGCTTTTTCTTGGAGATGGCTTTTCTTTTTCTGAATCATCCGCAACGTAGAATACGAAGTTCTTTCAATTTGATGGATTATGGCGACGCTTGAACAGCTTGAAGTTGACAACAGAAGCGTCTTCCAGCGCGCTCGAACAGCGACAGACTGGGATGGACCAAATGATCCTGACAACCCTCGGAACTTTTCCCTGTGCCGCCGGATATCCTCGACATTGGCAGTCACCTTTCTTGCATTCGTGAGCACATTGGCAGCCTCAATCTACAGTCCAGCGCATGAGGACATCTCGAGGCGATTTGGTGTGTCGGAAGAAGTCGCCATCCTCCCACTATCGCTCTACAATTTTGGTCTGGCCTTCGGACCTCCCATTGGAGCTCCTTTGAGCGAGACGTTTGGCCGCAAGGCAGTTTTCTTGACTACCACCCCGATATTCGCTCTTTTTACCCTAGGGGCGGGCTTTTCCCAGGGGCCTGCATCATTAATTGTTTGCAGATTCTTTGCTGGAGTGTTTGCCTCACCGGCTATCAGTAATGCCTCCGCAACGATCGTGGACTATACCGCTGGTCGTTATAGAGCTGTCTCACTAGCATTCTACTATTCTATACCATTTTTCGGTGCGGTATTCGGGTATGTCAATAGTTGACTTGGGGAGGTCCTGATACTAACTCCCGGTTAGGCCTCTCCTTGGAGGGTTTGTTGTTGAGACCAGGGACTGGCGCTGGACGCAATGGGTCACACTCTTCTTCATCGTCGCGTTTTACATCCCGATAATATTTACCAAAGAAACCTACAAGAAGACCATCCTCCAACGGCGAGCGAAAAGGCTCGATATCCAAGGCCCACCTCAACAACGCCGATCAATCCCTGCGTCTATCAAATACTTCTTGACAACGTTGTTTCTTCGCCCACTCCATATGCTGGTAACCGAGCCAATTGTCACCATTGTCTGCTTATATAACGGCTTTCTCTTCGGCTTAATGTACACCTTCGTTGTGGCTTCACCCTGGGTTTTCCAGCGCTACTACGACTTTATGCTGACAGGCCAGTCCTTGTCATTTCTTGGCTTGATGGCCGGTACTGCCCTGGCGCCGTGCCCGCTTATCTTGATCGACATGTACATCTACCAACCACGCTTGAAACAATTTCGCACTGTAAATTCGGAGGTGGATGACCGGTTCCCTCCTGAACATCGACTTTACCCTAGCATGATCGCATCCTTCATTCTTCCTGTCTGTTTGTTGATATTCGCATGGACAGCGCATTCTGAAGTCCATTGGATTGTGCCGATCATATTCCAGGGAATGGCGTTCACCGCCACTGTTATGGTGTATGCATCTATGAACTTGTTCATGGTCGATGCCTATGGGCCTCTCTACGGTGCGTCGGCTGCTGGTGCTGCTATGCTATCGAGATATGGCCTGTCAGCTGCATTTCCTCTCTTTGCCCTCAAGTTCTACAAGGCACTCGGCGTTGGATGGGCAACTACAATCCTGGCATTTTGCACCTTGGTAATGGCGCCGATGCCTTGGATGTTTTGGCGCCATGGGGAGTTGTTGAGGTCAAAAACGAAGTATGAAACAAGCACATGATAGAGACCGATAGTGGCATATCTCTCTTTCCGCCGCTGAGGGAGCACAATGGTGAAGGAACAAAGCAAATCCCTTGCATGACAAGGCTGCATACTATCGACAGCCGCAACATTGGGGCCCAAAGCAGGCGAACCCTGGCAGCTTGAACATCTCGAACGCTCTTTGCCCCCTCTATTTTCAACGGAAGTTTGCAACCTCCATCCTGCAGCTTATGGATCACTTACCAACGGCGTCATCTGAGTTTACCCACATAGAGAGTCCGTCTATGTTTGACAAAGATTGCCCTATCATCTACGATAACCAAACCTAGGCAGAGTACCCGGTCCAGGTAGGTTAGGATCTTAGCACAATCTCAGATGGAGACTTCACAAAAGGGGGACACAATACTCCAGACCAGGCAGCTTTCATTTTTACAGGCTTGGCTCTATTTTGGCGTGTTACGTTGCGTGACCGGGATGCCGGTTGAAACCTCTAATTTCACACGATCAACCGACCTGGGAGACCAAGTGGTGAGCTTGAAGAATTTACGGCACCATATTTCCAAATGAGAAGGGCAGTCCAAGAATGGCCAAAGGACGAGGAATTAGCTCGTACAACTGCCACTGATAGTTCGGTCAGAACAGTGACAGATGCGCTTCAACAATATCTCGGATGGAAGACTCCACTCTCAAACGCGGTCATCCTCTCGATCAACATCCTTCATAGGACGCTGATGCGCGCCAAACGGGCCGGACTGACTCAAAGTGACTTTGAGCCGTATCTAAGCTACTTCCAATGTTCCCGCGATGTCATCGATCAACACCTCTACGAGCGAGATTGGTGCAGAAGAGACGTCGCCAGACATCACCCAGGTCAGTCATGTTTGGCAATGTATTTCGCGATCTCGCTAGGTCCCCAGGTCGTACCTCGAGACCATTCAGATTGCTTGGTCACAGAATGCCTGGCGTTACAAGTCGACCATGCAGCATACAGAAGCCAGCACACTAGTTCTGGCTGCAACTGCTCACATCTGGAAGTCGACGTCCATCAAGTCTGTTCTCTGATCAACCGTGGGTTAACTCCGCTTCTGAAGCTGTCTGGTTCCGATTCTGGTGTGCGGCCCAAGCTAGATGTGATTGCTGGCAGCGAATACGTTTGCATTTCACATGTGTGGGCAAATGGTTTTGGCAATCTTCATGCAAATTCGATGCCTGTTTGTCAGCTGGTCCGCTGGCAGAGCCAAGTTAATGATCTCTATAATCGCGGTTTTGTTGGTGACAACGTTCCATTCTGGATAGATACGCTCTGTGTTCCAGTGCAGCCAGAAAATACCGCCACGAGAAGGCGTACTATAGTTGCAATGCGAAACATCTACGAGGAAGCAGCCAAAGTTCTCGTTCTCGATGTGGACCTTCTGAAGTCGACGACCAATGGAGCATCAAATGAAGCAATTGCCATGAGGATCTCATATAGTGTTTGGTGGTCGAGGCTATGGACACTCCAGGAGGCGGTTTTTGCTAAAGAACTTCACTTCCAATTGCACGACGGCGCCCTAGAAGGGAAAGGATTGGTGGAACGAAGCGACAATGCTCACAACATGTTCCCTGAGAGTGGTTGGAGTGCGCCGGAAGAGATCGCTAATGAGGGACTGGCATACCTCCGCGAGCTCTATGCTCTCAAATCTTCAACTCCGGAAAGCAGAGCTGCATTTATCCTCCAGGCCGTTAGCTGGCGCTCCACCAGCTGGAAGTCGGATGAGGCTGTCTGTCTGGCTGGGATACTTGGCCTTAACGTTCGAGACATTCTTTCCACTCCAGACCATGATCGCTTACAACGGTTCATCCTAATGCAACGTTTGTTCCCGTCAATGTCACTGTTTTTCTCGGGCGCAAACATGGACGCTGAAGGCTTCCGCTGGGCGCCAAAGACTTTTGTCTTCAGCCGAGCGTGCCTGTTGCCGGCCTATCAAATGAAACCAGACCGAGGTGGCAGTCGCTTCGAGCTACTGACGTCTCTCGCAGAGGCGAATACATCCGGCTTGCACGTTCAATTTCCGGGCTTCAAGCCCGGATCTCTCGCAAAGTGCTCGAGGGTAAGGGACCGAATCCTGTTTCAAGACGCCCTGAACGCATTCTGGTACACATTTCGCGTAATGGACAAGACCATCGTGAAGCCTTTTCTCAACACTGATCCCGGTGACATCCCGAGCCTCGCGGTTGTTCTTCCTCGGCGGCCCACCGAGGACCGAGCCCTTTTCTGTGGAGTTTTGGTTTCCATCTATAGAGACGACGGCGGAGTGTTCTTTTCGCAGCTGGTTGCAAGGACGTCAGTGGATCAATGGGTGCAAAAGATTTGCTATCCATCAGAGTTCCTTTTGGTGTCGAACAACCGAACCCGATCAAAAGTGTCTTCCTGACCACCAGCGATGGTGCATAGGATGAAAACGGAGTTGCCACCAGCCAGCCATCCCGCACCCCTTTGATGTGTAAGTATTGATGCTCGAAGATTGAAGCAAATATCATATGAGGAAGAGGCGTGTTCACAGCAATAGTGCCCGAGGATATCAATCCTGGTCAGAGTCGAGGTTCATATTAGCGACAGAAGTCGAAGTAAATCGACATCGAATGTGCCCCAACATCCACCTTCTCATCTTGATTCTTGAAGTTTTCCATTTTTCACGCCTACCGTCCCCTCAATGACACCCACCGACTGCTCATTCGCGACTTGCCTCTTCCATGTTTGACAATGACTTCTACTCCCATGTCAGGCTAGGATGCCCCGCTGGTGCGCGATCAGGTTCCCTATTTTGATCGTCGAAGTCCCATCGGTTGGTTCGCTGGTTCTGTCCCTTCGACCTTTGATTTTCATCTGTCGCATATTCTATCCTTTACGTCTATCAGCAGAGCGGATCTCTTCCCAGGTACGAGACCTTGGGAGGCCCTTCACGGATATTCGTACCCTATACTACCCTCTTTTAGCCTCTTTGTCGTTGGACCGACCCAGGGCCGGCGTTCCGTGAGATCGGTCCATACTCCCAGGATTCCGCGCAATTCTAATCACTTTCCAGACAAAGCTGGATTGCTTCCCAGGTAAAGCAGGACGAGCGGAGCGTAGGCCGTAAGGACACTGACGAAGAGGATATTGGACCAACAACCTCCCAACGACTTTCCGAATGCGGGTTACATACATGTACTGAAGAGTGGAGACTGAATCACTAATAGGAATCCCACGAACCTTATTACAGGATTTTTCTTTTCAATCACATTTGGTCGGGCCTTACTCGGTACCGTGACGACCAATGGCCATATGTCCACTAATCCGGCCAGCCTTATCGTATTCTCGATGCATCATTCTATTATTGGTGGATATCCGGATGTTGATGAGCTTACTGGGGCCGAACAGCCCCTCTTCAAGGAGAAACGGGCGCTCTATTGCACAGCTGCTGGTGTAACCAGCCTCGGAAAATGGCCGTATGGGACGGTACGGCAAGGCGAGGGAAAGTGAAAATGAGGCGAGAGTTCGGAGTAAACCCAGTGGAATTCGCACGGTGCGAGAAAGTTAACAGTATTACTCCAGACCACACCTAATGCCTACTAACGCAATGCCCCCGTTGCCTCCCGACGTGAGGTTCCATGGCGCTGTCGGCGACCTGATAACACAGCGTGCTCGGTAAGCCTTCTTCCCACCTCATTTTGGTCTCTCCGTCACGGATCGGCTGTCCTTGTGTGGGGTTCATTTTGCTTCCTTACGCCCAACATGGAACATCAAAGTACCTCTCCTCTCAGGCTTCCCAAAACCCATGTCTACTTCAATTACTTCAACCAAGGTTTAGCCTTCCAAAAAGATTACGGATCTGAGTCTTCCTGAAAGCCAGCACAAAGCAGAGACGTTGCACGTAGAACCATAGTCATTGCTCACTTCTCTCGGAATAGCATTGACGACGATGGGTTTCTTAGCAAGGCTCTATTCGAAGGCTTCCTATTCCAGAGTGGCTCAGGATGATCTGGATGATTGCAGGGAAAAGACGACTACTCACTCTTTATCATCATCTCCTTTCTCATCTATACTATGGTCACCCTTGCCATGGATGCTTTGCTCCTTGACACTCTTAATATGTCTCGGGGTCGTCACCAGGGCGCCGGGTTCCGGAAATTGCAATCACAAAAGCGGTTTTGAGCAAGGATTTGATACAGAATTTGGTAAGGGTTTTTGAAAACATTGACCAAACCACGCATGGCTCTCTCAGATGATGGGAACTTACGCACCAAACGCAAAATAGAGCCCGCAAAGTCTACGATTGCGACGAAAAAGACCAAATTCTCTGGCACGATGAAGTACACAGACGGGGGACATCTCTACATGGACATGTCACCAGAGAACGTCCGATATTTTGGCGAGCCGTCTCCCGAAGTCGATCAGGCTTGGGCGGAGCTCATTGGACGTAAGTACCCCATGTCCGTGAAGAGCATCGCCCTTGTCGTTTCTAACACTGAGTTCAATCAGCGGCTATGCAATTCTCCATGAGTCGAGAAGAGGCCGAAGCATTGGCCGTGAAATCATATGAACACCCAAAGGATGGTTTCCTTGTTACGTGAGTGACTTTCTCTTTGAGAAGGGAATATATCTAGGGAAGAATGCTGATACACTGCGACTGACAGTCCTGATGTCTTGCATACTCTGCATTGCGTGGTAAGTTCGAAGTCAAAAAGTACAGGCAGTCAGCAGCGGCAAGGCACGCGTCGCTTACCCCTTGATAAACGCAGAATCATGTCCGCAAGATTATCGATAGCGAATACTATTTCAAGGTGCCACTACATGGTCTACCTCGAAAACAAAGAGTTCACACAGGCAAGTTCCTTATATCAAGCAACCACCTCCCCCGATCTTCTCCTACTTTCCAATGATAGCTATCTCAGATTCACTCCGAAGCTCACAAGTCGCGTCCGTGGAACAGATCACTGCCTAAACCACATCCGCCAAGTAGTCCAGTGTCACATGGACCTGACGCCGGTGACGACCATGTATTTTGGGTCGGTCAACACCGAAGTCGGGAATTTCGAGCAAGAGCACACGTGTCGAGACCTGGAGCCTCTGAGGGTATGGGCGACCAGGAGGAAGCAGGCGGACCAAGCTAGGTTGAAGACCCTTGGTGAGGGAGGAGATGGTCACCTGGGACCCCAGCCGCTCCCAACGCACGGCTACGTTGACAATGAGGACGCTTTGTTGCCTTGGAACTCGACTCTGTCAGAGATTGCTTAAGAGCACGAAAAATTATATTGCGGTTCCTTTCCCATCTCACTACCCACAAGAAGCAGAAGTGCTCGGTTTGCCCGAAAGAGGTGGAGACTCAATCCCTCCTTGATCCGTCGTGTTGCACCGCTCCGTGGAGTCTTCTTCGGCGGCAGCTCTCCGGCAGTAAAAGTAGGCATATTTGCCGTCGAAGTGCGAACTCTCACCGAGGACGTCAAAGCCAACCTTCCTGTAGAACTCGACCGCGTGGGGCGTCGAGACGAGATAGATAGGGAGTCGCTGCGCGTCGGCCTGATTGATACCCCAGCTGACCAATTGTCTTGCATAGCCGCGTTTCCTGTATTCCGGCTCTGTGAGGAGGAGTCGTAGATCTGTCAGCGGGACCCAATAGGAACCCATTTTTGTTAGGCCACTGTTTTTCTGATTAAAAATGATGATGAGAAAGGCGGAAAAAGAAGACATTCAGGATATTTGAAATCTTTGCCGATACCAGGGTTGTGCTTTTCTCAGCTTGTCGGGGCCCGGAAAAAAATCACGAAACTTACACCAACAATCTCCCCGGTCTCCCCAAACTTGTTTCTTTGTCCTAGCCATCATGTTCATCACCTCTTCAAAAACATCCGCCCGGGATTGGGCAGGTAACGAGGCCAATTTTCTCAGCCTTTCGTACTCGGCATGGCGTTCCGTCTCTGATGGCGACTGTATGCAAGTCTTTGGTGCCTCCCACACCGCCACGGCCACTAATTGCCGCGGTCCGGTCGTCGTGTCGTCTCCATTGACGACTGCACCGGCTGCTGTTTCTCCATGTGAGTCAATCGAGACAGTGACTTTGTAAGCCCGTGCCAGCGGATTCTGGCCGAGAAAGAGCCTGAGCGTCTCGGTTTTCCAAGCGTACGTGGCCGCTGTGAAAAGACCCGTGGACGGGTCTGGCGGGTGGAACGTGTCCTGGTCCAAGTTGCCGGAGAGGACGTGGGAGCAAAGGGAGACGATGTCGGGTATGTCAGACATTGCGACTTCCGAGATGGAGATGCTGCAGTCATCTCGTGTCTCATCCAGTGTTGTGCTTTCCATCTTATGAACAGCGACCTGAAAGAGGTCGGAGATCAGCCTAGAAGCGGAAACAAACTCCCCTCACTCGCGGGAGATAATACTCGGAAAGTCGTGCAGCAACAAAAGGCAAATTAAAAAAGAGAAAAAAATATTGGATCGAGGGTGATGATCCGAAGGTCGAGACGAATGCCGACGTTCCAATCATCGTCACCCACAACAACTGGACCTGGTACTGCCTAATATATAACCCCTGATCCTACGGTCAGATCGAGACGATCCTAGTACACCAGATTGGTGTAGGCCTTGGAATGAGTGGGCTAGTTGCCCGACCCGACTGACCCGACCCATAGAAAAGCCTAATTAGGTGAGATTGCAGTTTGTGCTGTAGCTACTGCAAGATCCCGCCGTAATCACTTTCCGTGTTCGGTTTGTTGCGTATATCATACTAGCCCGATTAGCTATTTATACACCCCTTCGGGATAGCGTCCCCGAAAAGCCTTGTCCAATGGCAGGTAAAATCTCGCTTCCCACAGACCTTGATGCGATTTGGGATATCTGCCCGAGAGATTGTGCGCAGATAAGTCGGCGCCAGAGAAGAGAGACGAACCAAAGCAGTTAAAGTCAGAATGTAATCTCTCCTCTCTATCTGTTCGGCTTAAGTTCCTAATCCCGGATGAAGGAGATAATGATGATCCATATTGGAAGCTCAACTTTCAGCAAGTTCTACTTCAGTCGTGTTGATAAGCATGACCTGGAGCATCAGGCCCATCGGCATAGCCAAACACTCGCTTGAACTCGTCGGAGACGGGCTTTGGAGTGAAGTCCTCGGGCATCACCATGGCTCTGAACTGGTCGTTGGGAACAATTCTGCTTTCGTACCACGTCATGAGGGCGTCGAAGTTGTTGCACTTTCTGTTGATGCTGAAATCTGGATAGGGCAGGATCTGGCCTTCGACCCATTCGCGAGTGACAATGTCGGTGCTAGCGTCGCACATGAGGTGTTGCAGGAGGACGTAGAGGCAGTGTTCTGTGTGCGCCTGGTGCAGTGCAGGCGGCTTTCCATCCCCGAATTTGTCCCTAAAGTAGTAGTCGTAGTAAATTTCTTTGCGGAGCGAGTTGAGACAGTGAATCCTGTGCAAGCTGTCCAGCTCTGCGGCGTAAGCGTCCGGACCTAGGTTGAAAGACTCTGGAAATTTGGCAACGGTCTTGGGATCTTTGCCCATCCGAATGATGTCGGATGAAGATACCCAGATCGTGTTCTTGTTACTCAGATTGTTCCATGCCGCGTCAACTGCTGGTGATGGTGGCTGCCGGAAGATAGAGTGGTCAACATCGACATCTTCGCCTACGATTTGTTTCGTACCCAAGGTCATGTCGACTTCGTCGAGGATTGGAGCTTTTCTCTCTGTTTAGTGAGGGGATTCGTTTCGTATGTAGCATTTCTGTGGCCTTACAGTAGGTAACCATTTGTCTCAGAAGTGGATTTTTGATGTTTCTCATCTTGACCCATGATATTGTTTGCCATGACAGGATTGTCAAAGACACCGAGAACAATAGCAAATTTGCGATCACTGCCCATTTTCCAACACGGTAGCAATTTCGAGACGGCTCTTGCGTCCCCGAGAAAGTCTCCGCTTCCCAGGGTTCTTTTGTAGGGAGAAGAGGGTCCTCGCTCTCCAGGTTGCCGTGTGAAGAAAGATCTGTATACTTCGAGTTCTCATCGGCCATCTTGGAGCTATCCACGTCGGATGATGATTGAAAAATATCAGGAAAAGAACAAACAGTTGCGAGAGACTTGTGTCTGATCGACTCAAAAATGCAAGAGTCGGAGAGGAAGTAAGGTAGAGTCATGATTCTGATAATGGAGAGACGGTCGCGTGCTTCCAATGCTTCTCCACAGTTAACGACCTCTAAATGGGACAACAATTGTTTTCGACCGCTCAAAGAACTACGAGTTTGCTGGCCGGGGAGGGGGACATTCCGCTGCCCAGGCATGCACGATCCCATGGGTTATCGAAACAATAAAATAAAGTCAGCCCTAGGAACTGCAGGGCCTCCTCTAGACTTCGTGTCATGGGTGCTAGGTGTGGGCCCCTGACGTAGCGAGAGACTATTGTCTGCCCTACCCACTCTTACAAGCATTCCCAATATTGGTGGAGCACCAGGAATCCTTCGAACTGGTCGGGTAACCGTAGCATTGATAGTGGAGAATAGGACGTCCAATCCTTAAGCCGGCTCGTTCCTCCTTCATCAGGCATTCGTCTCGGAACTATCCGCCAGTCCGGCTATAGGCTATGAATGTGCGGAAAGCTTGTATTGTCTACTCGGAGAGCACTTCTTGATTGAATTCGATAGGAGCGAGGGAAATCGATGTCTGATTGTTTGAGACTGACTAGATGGACGCCTGAATTTCTCGTCAAGGCACCAATGAATAGCGACAGCTCCTAGCTCCTACTTGTACTGGATAGTGATAGCTTGTTCCTACTATGTACTTCTGTCTCGCAGGGGTTGAATGATCGGCATTCGCTTGCCGATCCACCAATTCTAACCGTGTTCTGTCTCCACCATGGCTAACCAGCCTCGTCCCCTTTCCGTACCATTTAGTCGAAGTCAATGGTAGTCTCCTCGCGCTTGTCGAAATCGATGGTAGTCTCCTCGCGCTTGTCGAAGTCAATGGTAGTCTCCTCGCGCTTGTCGAAATCGATGGTAGTCTCCTCGCGCTTGTC